TTCTTCTTCTTCTTCTTCTTCTTCTTCTTCTTCTTCTTCTTCTTCTTTTTCTCCTCCTCCTCCTACTCAGGGTTGACCTGCGGGATCCTTGGTGTTCTCTGAGCTTGGTGGTTTTGATGTTATTTATAATGGAACGTCTGCAAGAAAACCACCAAGCTCAGAGAACACCAAGGATCTCACAATTGTCAATATCTCCTGGCATATTCTTTAAATGGAGCCAAGGCTTCACCAGGAATAAGGTGGGATCAGAGTTTTACTTGGCAATGCTTGGATCAGAAACTGGAGGCCCCGAATAATGTTCTGCTAAGAACTTAGTGCTAGGTCACCAACTTTGAGGGTTAAGAGGTCTACGTTTCAACTCATGGGATCTCCAGGTCAGCCTGGAAAAGATCCTTCCTGGAAGAGGACTTTCAAGCGACGAAAAACCAAAGGTTGGCTCAAAACAGGGTTTCTCGGACAACTTTCTGAAGAGAGCTCTAAGTTTTCCTTTCCCTGCCCTGCAGAGAGCATTCGGTGCCCTGTGCCATAGTACCCATCTGTATGGCAGGAGGCTGGTGCTGGAGTGGGCAGATTCAGAGGAGACCGTAGAATCCCTGAGAAGAAAAACGGCAGAGCACTTTCATGGTAAGCACCTGGTCTGAGTTATTCTTTTGTTTTGAATTGTTTGGGGCATTTGAAAAAAAAAATGGCTGCCCTCTTTTTTTTTTCTCTTCTCCTCCTATTCCTTTTCTTCCCCACTCCTGCTTTTTCTTCTCCTGTTCTCCCTCTCTTTTTCTTTCTCTACCTCCTCTTCCTTTCTTCTCCTTTCCCTCTTTTTCTTCTCCCTCTTCCTCTTCCGCTTCTTCCACTTTTGCTTCTCCTCCTCTTCTTCTTCTCCATCTCCTCCTCTTCATGTTCTTCTTCTTGTTCCTCCTCCTCTTCTTCCACTTTTGCTTTTCCTCCTCCTTTTCCTCTTCCTTTACTTCCTCTTCTTCTTCCTCTTCCACTTCTTCCACTTTTACTCTTCCTCCTCCTCCTCTTCCTCCTCTTCCTCTTCTTCCTCTTTTTCCTCTTCCTCCTCTCCTTCTTCTTCCTCTTCCACTTCTTCCACTTTTGCTTCTCCTCCTCCTCCTCCTCCTCCTCCTCCTCCTCCTCCTCCTCGTCTTCTCCTTCTCTTCCTCCTCCTCTTCTTTTTCTTCCTCCTCTTCTGCTTCTTTCACTTTTGCTTCTTCTCCTTCTCCTCCTTTTCAACCATTGCAGAAATATCTGCATTTCTCTCTCTCCTCCTCCCAGTGAAATGGACAAGTTTGCCTTAGAACGTGCGCCCCCCCCCCCGCCCCCCCCCCCCCCCCCGCCCAATTGCCTTTGTGTTGACTAACCAAACTTAGCCCCACTGCTTGGTCTCTACTTCAGGCAGCAAAGTGCCTTGAACCCTTCCCCTGTTCAAAGGAACAGCACGGATGCAGGGGGAGAGAGAAAAGAAAACCCCCACCCACCTGAGAATACGCTCCACCACAGAGAAGGCTAATGGCCAAGGGCCTCCTCTTTCCCACAAAGTCTGTTTGGAAGAGTTGACTGCATGTATCTTTTCTCTCCCCCCCCCCCACATTCCCCCGCCCACCCATTTTCCCTTTGTTAACCCCGCAACCTGCTCCCCACCTTCAAACATTGGGGACATCCCCACCTCTTGAGCCCAGAAAGCATTCTTCGCTCTTATTCCTTTTTTTTTTTTTGGGAAGCCCGGAAGGGAAAAAGCAAAGAGAGAGAGAGAAGAGCCAGGCTCCGGCTGTGTGTTATTCAAAGCCCAGCGTATTTTTAAAACAGCATGCCCGCAGCAGAAGCAGCCTTTCAAATTTTACTTTGTGGCCGCGGTGGCCTGGGAAATCCATTGGCCAGAGCATAATAGTAGCAGGGGTATCTTTTCTTTTTTCTTTTCTTTTTTTTAAAAAAACCCTTTTGTTTGCCGTTCTTCAGCGAAGGAGGAAAATGGGTTTTGCATCGGCTTCTTTGCCTTCGGCCTCCTCCCTTGTTTTCCTTTGTTGCTTCTGGGCTGATTCCGGCAGAGGGTCGGGCCTCTCCCCATCCTCACCTTAGAGCTGTGTCCAGGGAGATCCTCCATCCTTCAGGCCGTGGTTGTCCCAAAGGTGCTTTTTTTTAAATATAATTTTCAAGAGGCAACTGTACTTCCTTGTTTTTCTTTGGGAGACGTTTCGCTTCTCATCCAAGGAGCTTCTTCAGCTCGGACCGGATGGTAGGTCAAGGGAAGGGTTTATACTCTTGGCAGGCAGCTGGTCATTTGCATCCTTTGAGACGGGTCGTTGAGGCCACTTGGAGGTTCTGTATCCTCAGCGTCACCAGAATATGGGCGTGGTGCCTTTTAGCCATTCCAAGAAGCCTCCACACCCATTTACACTACTTAGGGACAGCCATTTGTCTGGAATGGTAGCGGCTCTCCGGCTTGACCATGGAGGCCTTCTAGTCTACCCCATTGCACAAGCAGGAGACCACACACCATCCCAGGCGAGTGGCTGTCCAGTCTCTCCTTAAAACGCCTCCAGCGATGGAGCTACCCACAACTTCTGGTGGCAAAGCTATTCCACTGGTTGATTGTCCTCACGGTTTGGAAGTTTCTCCTTCATTCCAGGTTGGCTTCTTTCCTTGATTAGTTTTCCATTCGTTGTTTCTTGCCTCGCCTTCTAGTGCTTTGGAAAATAGCTCGACGCCGTCCCCTTCCTTCTTTGTGGCAGCCCCTCAAAGAAGAGGAGGTCAGCCTAAGTGGGGTGGTGGGGGTGGACTAGACAACCTCCGAAGCCCCTTCCAACTCTGTTCTTCTCTTCTCCGAGAGCTGTTGCCGTTTGCCGAAAAACTTCCAGACGAATTCTGGCGCTGCATTGGAGCCAACAGCTGTTGAAGCTCCCTCTCTTTGCTTCCTTTTCCCCCCTCTCTCTTTGCCCCCCCCCCCCCGAACAACACACACACACACACACACAACCACACGCTTCTCGGAGGATTGTTTTGGAAATACTTCCGAGAGAGTCTGTAATAATCCTGCACGCACTCCTGCCTCCCGGGAGCCGCGAGGCGTGAGGAGGAGGGACCTGCTCCCAATCCAGCTAAATTACTATTGACTTGTGTTCTGCGCGCTCCACAAACATTTCACTCAGCCGTTCCCAACAGCGCCCGGGCGATCTCCTGCCAGGGGTGAGGGCCAGCTGCGCTGGGGTGCATCTTCCTGCTCTTCCCCATCGATCAAAGAATTAAACTGACAGAAGGAAAAATGCTCCCACCCACTGACCGACCTGGGCTGAGACTGGAATGGCGGCGGGGGGGGGGGGGAAGCAAGCTCAGAGGCAGAGCCAACCTGGGAGGGTCATGAGAAGTATAATGAAGAGACCTCTGCCTCTTGCACCAATGTGGATGCATAACAGTTGGGTTAGCCAATGGAGATTTATATGAGTCTCTCTCCCTCCCTCTCTCTTTCCTCTCAATCTCCCTCCTTCCCTCCGTCCCTCTCTCTCCTCTTTCTCTTTCCTCTCTTCTCCCTTTCCTCTGTTCTCTCTCTTTCCTCTCTCAATCACTCTCTCTTTCCTCTCAAATCT